AGTTAACTACATTTTCTTATCAAACTACTTATGCTAGAAGAATTGAATGAATTTGTCATATAAAAACAAAGTTAACCAAATATTCTTCAACAAAAATTATATTATATCTATTGCAGTATTTTATTGGATAATACGTCATGTCAATAACTTATTATTAGAACATTATTAATGATTCTTCTATTAGAAAAAAACTTCATAGAACCAACTAGATTATCATCAATCAAGGTGAAAGTTTGTCTCACAGTGTTATCCAATTAGTCTTGTCTTTTTCTTGTGATGTAAGACTTTCCAACAATAATCATTGTCCAGTTCCAAGAGAAAAAACTTATGTCAAAGAACAAAATTATATTGCAATCATTGCTAAAATCAATAAATCAAGATATAGTTCATAGTACTAGTTAAAATGAAACAAAAATTTTTTATTTTTGAAAATTTAAGAACCATCTATCTCACTATTAGTTTTTGTAGATTGAAAGAAAATTGATATTATTTGTATTTAAAGAGTTTCTTTCTATTGATATATTATTGTAACTAATACATTGATTTTTCTCTCTTGAGAAATACTGATTAGATTTATTTTCAGAAAGAAGATCAAATTATATTATCAATTTTTTTTCATATCCTTACACTAAAACTTTCCATAGTACATTATAGGAAGATGTCTACTTTATTTTTATTTAATAGACATCCTATTATACTTTTCTTTTGAAAAATAAATCATATACACTACATAACTGAAACAAATGATCCATTTGCTTGACAATGTCAGACAACTATATTACTTTTCACAAACATACGACAGAATCCGACTACGTGTCTAATACAGCTGGAAAGTCGCATGGTTATGGAAATTAGTTAATCTATACTTCTATTTATTATGACATATGGATTTACTAATAGATAAAAATCTATTCTATTTCTTACTTAATGTGTCATTGACTTGTTGGAAATGTTATGAAAAAAAAAAAGTCTTATTAGTTATATCCTTTGGATGATAAATTTTTCGTTGTATAACATTTTGATTTGTTAATTATATATCTAATCATTGAATATTTTCATAATTCAAATTAAAAGAAAAATAAAGACAAACAATTTTTAGTATTCGAAAACTTGATATTAATTGTATTTTGTTTTATTCTATAGAAAACAAAAATTAAGTTTTATGAAAAGCTTTCAAAAAGATACAGAACTTTCTAAATACAAGATGTTTAATTGATTACGGATATTTTTTTGTTTGGTTAAATTAAGGGAAAATGGTCGCATTGTAGAATCAAAACAAAATTTACCATGAGAGGAAAAAAATATCATTGATGAAATATAATTGAATATCTAATTTTTCTTAGATTCATAATCAAAATCGTTCTTGTCAGTTGTTTCGAACGTTGTTGAAATTGTTCTTGTTCAACTCGAGTCATTGTTGATTCTTCTGATTCTTGGATATATCTTATTCACATTCAAAAATTTCGATGTGTTTGACAATGAGAATTTAATTAACTATGATATCCTTTTACGTATTTGTTAGTTTTTGGTCAAATTCCAAAGAAATCAAATAAATTCTAAAATGAGAGAAGAAATAAAACATCTTCTACAGATGTACAAATGAATGTAATCTATTAATTTAAGAAAAGTTTGATCTACATTACTAATTTCTATAATGATATTAGAAAATATTGGATTAATTTCTCTTAAATCGAATTATCTACACTAGAGTTATCGGTATTTTTTAGGGATGAAGGACTAATAATTCTCGCCAAAAGTGATTTTATTCGCGAAGTGCTAGAAGTGGCAACTGGGTGGAAGAGCGACACCCACCGTGACTCGATTTCTTCCACCACAGACGACCTGCCACTAGGCCGTTCCTCCTCAGTTCTATTCACTTACAACGACATTGCCTATATTTTACTTTCTGTCAAAGAAAGGCAAATGGTTTTTTGTCCAAAAAGATACCACAAACTGTAAAAAATTAGCATAAATTAGGACATTGTAAGAGAGGAAACCTCTATTCTTCCCAATCGAGAATCCTAATCTACAGTGATCATCTTTTTTGTTTTGTTGCCGGTTTCCTTCGCAATTAAGAAGACATGAATTTTTTTCGCCTATAAATTTGTTGTTTTTTTTTGGGTGCGACTTTATATTATGTATGTGACTTCAATAGATACATATAAAGATTTCTTTTACGAAAAGTAACAATTAGAATATTGAGTTTCTTCATCTTTTCAAAGAATTTTTTTATTAACTTAAACATGATGAAAATGTTTTTTGTTTCTCTTGAATGAAGTTTGTATGACATAAAAATTTCTTTTAAATTTGTGTTTCCATTATAATTTTTAATATGTTCATGCACACGTTCATTCAATGTGTTTGATCGTTATCGATTCAATATACACAACATTAAACAACTTCACAAGGTGATAAAATTGATTAGAAATAATCGTATTAACAGTTCGTGCTCTATACTTATAAGTCTCGCTCTTGTCATCATCATTTATCTTAGTGCCATACACACACGATTATTCTTGAGAATGTCATCGAGGTCATTTCATTTACATGAATACAATATAGGCAACATCTTGTCGATTTGAATAGCCAATACAAAGGAATATATACATATGAGACCTATATACTCTTGTATAGACAGTTTATGAATCAAAGATGCTTATGAACATATAATCAAAGGTATTATTTTTTTTTTCAATTTTTATTTCAATTAGGAACAGCGGAAGTATATGTTGTCCTGCAGGGATAAGATTAAATCAGCTTGTGAGAAAAAAAAAGAATGCTCATTTTTCATTACCTTTCTATGGCATTGTCTATCAACTCAATACAAGCAAACTTTAATAATCTATCATTATTACTGACTATTGTGTTTAAAGTATACTTCCTTTTTCGTCTCTTTCAATGTTGATTAACAACATGGAAATCATTGATATTCTTTGCATGAATAATCGTGCGTAGCAATTCTCTCATGAGACATTCGCTAGACAATAGATTCTTATTGACCTCCATCATTAATCAAAACGATGTTCACATATGGATTATCTAATATTGTCTCATACGTAATCTAACTAGGAAAAAAAGACTAGAACTCTACTACTTATACATATATTTGTAATAAGACGAATCATAAAATTACATGAAATAATGAGTTTTCTCGTTTATATGCAATTATAATAACGAGTAAGTTAACTGACTTTTTTCTTCAAACTAATATTCTACATGATTGCAACATTTTAAAACGAGAAAAAAAAATATGGAAATTCTATTGAAACTTAAGAATATTATAATTGATTCATATTTCTGTCTCAATTACTTTTATCATAAGAATAAGAAAGTTACTTTAATAAGTTGACTAAGACTATCTCTTCGTACTGTATTTGTATACTCGAATAAGTGTCAACATTAGACAGACAATACTTATTGATTTTGTTCATTAGTACATAAGTACATACGATATTAATAACAATTTGAGTGTTCGTTCTATACATAGTATAACTCATTACATAGAAAAAAAGAAATATTTTTCTAGTCACACATCCTGATAGAAATAATTCACGTACGTAAAAACAAGGTCAGTCGTCAATAGAGTGAACATGATTGAAATTACATTAAGAAATTTGACACTTGTGTATTGAATGTCCTGCTTGAGAGGGAAGGACTCATTAAATATTTGTTTGATTTTTGTAATGAAAAAAAACAAAATCATACAATCTGTCAAGGTAATAAATGATCACTTTTAAGTGAAAGAACATATATATATATATATGCTGAGATGCCGCTATTTCATCATCATCGTCATAGGAAGATGAATGATGACTTAACAATGAAGTGAGAAGAAGAAAAATCATTCACATATAATAAATCTTCGAACTAGACACGTAAAAATTCGAGCTTTTGTCTTTGTTTATATATATATATATATTCTTATTGAATTTGATGCTTAATCATTTGCTTCAAAATTTTAATCTTTTTCTTTACTTTTATTTTATACGATTTATCTTTATTTAATGCGATCAATACCATCTATATATATATAAGGTATATAAAATACTTTTTATTGTTTACAACATATGTTCTATAATTACATTCTGGTTGACCGAACTACTATGCGAAAATAAATCAAATTAGAAACACATTTCTTTAACACCATTTGATGAAATAAAGAGTAAAAGATTCACTAATTGTCAAGAAATATAGAAAAGATATCGATACTAATTGTATAGTTAAATAAAAATAACTCTAATGAATAGATTTGTGATTAACAATAGGCAAAATCTGTGAATTTCCTTTTTTTTTTTTGTTGTGTTCAGTCATTGTCTATGTATAAACAATCATATAGTTATGGGAATACTGTAATCACTTTTGAACATGATATTTATAATATTGATCTGAATATTATATAAATAATATCGAATATGAACGATTTGACATCAACGAAATGACTTTTTTTATTGATTAAATTTCATTGTAATCGATTCTCATGTTTGGAACACTAGAATCTAAACAATCATCTTGACACTTTGCAATTGTAAAAAAAAAAGAAACTTGACTTTAGTCAAAGGGTCGAATCTTCACTTTTCATTATTTTTTAATCCAACAATTACATAGCTGAATAAATTATAGTTGATTTATAATTTATTTCTTGTAGTAAGAAAAAACCTTTTAATTTTTCCTCAAAGTTCTGTGTCTATGTCCGTGTTAATGATCTTATGATTTCTATCTGAGAATGCATATCCAACAACAGACTAATTCAAGAAAAAAAAGAGTGCTTTGTATTTGCTATGCTGTCTCCTACATACATAAGTGTTGCGTCTGTCAACACTTATCATCATTTCGCATGTACATCAAGAAAGAAAAGAAATCAATAAAAAGAATTGTTCTCTTGTCATTCTTTCTCTTGCTGAGAAAAATGATAATTTGTGAACTCTATGTCACATATGTGAAAGGAAGAAAAGAGAGTGTAAGTTTCTCTTCTTTTATTATAGATTAGACAATATGAAACAATGAATCAATCTATATCAGATCAAAAATTTCATTCATTTAATTATATTGATCTTAATAAAAAATATGAAATATGTCGTCAACAATCACAATGTTATCTACTTATTCCACCACCACAACCACCAATATTTCCAAAACTTATTCTTTATAATTCATCATCTACATTAACAAATCATCAACAATATACACAGTCATTTTTTATAATTCTGAATATATGTATTGCTTTAATTTCTATTTGTCTCCTTGTATTTTTACTCGGTGTTATGTAAGATAGTAATTGATTTGTTTTTTTTTTTTGCTTTTTCTAATCATTTGTTTATATATAGTTTTCAATTTTATCATAAATTACGACAATATCATCGTCGAACAAAACATACTAATATCACTGATGGATCGATATCATTCTCAAAGGTGAGAATTAAATAATTCTTATTTCAAATAACTATAATTAATTTATATCTTTATCTTTAAGATTATTCCAACATCATGTAATTCTTTAACACCATTAACTACTACAACAAATCAATCACCATCATCAACAATGACAAACATAGTGAATCAAAATCTTGAACAAATTTTACGATCTGATGATCAATCATCTTATCATAATCATTCAACAAATATCTATGAAAAGATTCAATTCTCATCAGATCATCATTATTGCTCTTGTTGTTTATGTGTTCAAACATACTATAAACAACAACAACAACAACAACAATATATTTCTACTACATATCAATTGATGCCATATTATTATACATATGAATCATCGTCATCAAAAATCATTTGTCAAAATTGTTTATTAGAAACTTTACATCATAAACAAAACTGTTTTTGTCGTAATTTCTTTGTACCAATTAAATAGATGCGAATGAGCATAATCTTCTGCTGTTTGTATGATCACATATTTGTACTTTTTATTATGACTACTAATTTCATCAGAATGAAAAGGATTTTAAACTATTGTACATACATATATCTATATGTATAATAACCTTGAAAGAAAAAAAATGTTTTGAGCACTCAAAAAAAAAAAAACAAGCAAGGACTGAGTTAATTATAGGATGTGGATGTGTGAAGTTGTAGAGTACTGATTGTAGACGAAAACAAGATTCACACACCATCATCTTATTATTTTGAGACTTGACGTTATTGTATATTATCGTGTAAAATTCATCGAGCGATTTGACTATATTCAAAATTTGATAATCGTCGTTTGACTTTGGAAATTGTTTTTAAAGTAATTTTTACTCATGTATCATTACTATTCAGTGCCTTCAAATACGAAAAATTATTCCTTTTGTATGCCATCATTTTCAAATATTTATGGAATTAATCAATATTGATTAAGCTTCTGATATTTTTATCTAATTAAATGAATTTAATGGAGAACAGTGATTGGCTTAGAATTGTAGATACATAATAATCGCTTTTTTTTTCTATATTCAACATAAAAATATGATGCACAAGTAGTCTGGTCGATTTTTGAAAACAATTTAGTTCGATGTATTAAGTTAACCTTTAAAAACTTCATTAATCTTTTCAATTTGTCGAAAAATAAATTTTCGATAGTCGAATAATATCCTACTGTGATAGATCAAAGAAGAATCGTTAATCATTTTATCTCATTTTTATATTTTCTAAAGACAAATATCGATCATTAGTATCCAAAGGAAATGAATTTTTCCTCAGTAGTTTTAATGAATAGTCAAACAACTGTTTTGTTTCATCACTCATAATTAAACTTTAGTTTTTATTTGAGGATTCAATCATCAGAAGAAAAAAAGAAAAGATTTCGATCACTTTCTATATGTTCATGGTGTTGATATTTTAGATTTTTGCCGCAAAAAAATTCAGATGGCATTA